ACCAGTACCGAATGGTTCAAGACCTACGTGCTGTTAATGATGTTACTGTCAAAGATTCCGCGGTTGTTCCAAACCCCCACACATTACTGTCACAGGTTCCACCCTCTGCCACAGTTTTCACAGTTGTGGACCTTGCTAATGCCTTTTTCAGTGTTCCTCTGGACCCAGCTTGCCAATATCTTTTTGCTTTCACACATGAGGGCCAACAATATACTTGGACTGTTATGCCCCAAGGTGCTCAGAATTCACCTACCCAATTTGCCCATGCTATGTCACTAGTCCTGGAACCCTGGCAAAAGACACACACTGATGTGGTATTGCTCCAATATGTTGATGACCTCCTCCTCTGTGCTGATGATCTCCAAACTGCTGAACGAGTTTCAGAAGATCTCCTCTGTTTCCTCGCTGAGGCAGGCTGCAAGGCCTCGAAATCTAAACTCCAATGGTGCCGGCCCTCAGTGGTTTTCTTGGGACATTGCCTTTCCCATGGCACCCGTCACCTTACAAAGGATAGGATTCTGGCTATCTTGAACTTACCTATCCCTTCTACACACCAAGCTCTTCATGCCTTTTTGGGCCTGATAACTTATTGCAAATCCTGGATTCCAGACGCCTCTCAGCTCATGCAGCCTCTATATGATGTCTTGAAACATGATCCTTTCTCCCTATCACCACATGCACTTGACTGTTTCACTTCCCTGAAAAAGGCTATTGCCTCCGCCCCTGCCCTGGGCCTGCCAAACTACCAGTTGCCCTTTAAACTGTTTGTGTCTGAAAGACTGGGCCACGCTTCCGGGGTTCTCACTCAGCAACATGGCTCCAGACAAAGACCTATTGGCTACTTTTCCTGTATGCTTGATCATGTTGCCAGAGGCAGCCCTTCCTGTCTCCGAGCAGTATTTGCTGCCAGTGCACTCCTGGACAAGACTAATGCCTTTGTTCTTGGGCATTCTCTCACCGTACTGGCTCCACATGATATCTCTGCAATCCTCCAACAAACACAACCTCGACATCTTTCCTCTCAACGTCATTTGAGACTGCAAACCTCGTTGCTACCAGACGACAATGTTACTCTACAACGCTGCTATTCGCTGAACCCTGCCACTCTTCTGCCACTTCCCAAGGGGGGAGTGGCACAACACTGGTACAGCTTGGACATCAACCCAGATGCTCGAATGGAGTTCCAGCTACCCACTTTTACAACTCCTCATGATCAACAATCAGAAAATATGTTACATTGCACCTTATGGTTTAAAGACACTCCAGGCCCCGATGTGGATTATGAAGAAGAACTATTCCAACAGATTGAAATTCACATCACATTGACAGACCTGTTGTGGGACTCTAGATGCAACATGCTCCTATTGGTACATCTTCCAGCAAGGATGTCTCATCTCTACCGCCATTGGGAAACGGCTGTTCCCCATATTTCTCTCACCAAGTCCCCTGACAACCTATGGCAAGATCTTGGCCCAATGGCCAAATCCTGGAGCACTATGACCCAAGAACAACTTGATTCATCAGGAATCACTAAAAGAATCATCAATTGTAATACAACAGGGTTTCCTCGACATCACACAGAAATCTGTGAAGACCTCCCGCCTATGGAACAGGATCCAGAGGCCCCTCATGATTGCTTCGAACAAATGAAGATGGAAACTACCCACTTACCAACCGTACATGAAGTAGCCCTACCAAATCCAGACCAGACATTGTTTGTAGACGGTTCTAGATTTGCTGATGAACAAGGGCAGTATCACACTGGATATGCAGTTACCACAGAATGCCAAATATTGCAAGCAGCCGCACTTCCATTAACCAAGTCAGCACAAGAAGCTGAATTAATAGCTCTCACAGTGGCCTGCAAATTATCCGAGGGCCTCCGTGTTAATATCTATACGGATTCAAGATATGCTTTGGGAGTAGCACATGACTTTGGCCTAATTTGGAAAACCCGAGGATTCCTCACAGCTGCTGGAACCCCAGTGAAACATGGCCTAGTCATCAAAGAACTAATGGATGCCTTGATACTACCAGCGGAGGTAGCAGTGCTTAAAGTAAAGGCCCATGGAAGACTGAACTCAGAAGAAGCACGAGGCAATCATCTAGCAGACCAAGCTGCCAAGGATGCAGCACGACAAGGGTGGGAAGTGGGCAGAAGAGTGGCTACTGAAACAATACCTGTCTATACTATGCAAACACTGCCTACAGATCTCAACCTTCTGAAGGAACAGCAAGCCGCTGCAACTCCCCAGGAAAAGCAGAGTTGGAAGAGCAGGGGAGCCATCCTTCAGGATGATGTTTACACCCTTAATCTTAAATTCTGTCTACCCAAAAGCATGTACCCAGCAGTTGTCCAATGGGCTCATGGACCAGCTCACCTGTCAAAGAACCTGATGAACTCTCTGATTGATAAATATTTTGAAGCACCAGGTATCACTACCTTGACACAGAATTATTGTAAATCCTGTGCAATCTGTGCCAAATGCAACCCTGGAAAGATTGTCAAGACTGCACCCAACCACTTGGCCAAACCACAATATCCCTTCCAGAGAATACAGATTGACCACATCCAGATGCCAAAGAGTGGGCGCTATGAATATGCCCTAGTTATTGTGGACATGTTCTCAGGATGGCCGGAAGCCTTTCCAGTGGCTAATCTTACCGCCAGGACAACAGCCAAACATCTTCTAACAGAGATTGTCTGCAGATACAGCGTTCCAGAAGTAATTGAAAGCGATCAAGGAACCTCTTTTACTGCCTCATTAACGCGGGAAGTCTGGACAGCACTGGGGGTGACCCTTGCCTTCCACACACCATATCATCCACAGAGTAGTGGTAAGGTAGAACGCATGAATGGCACATTAAAGGCCAGAATGCTCAAGATGTCTCAGGAAACTAACATGCCCTGGCCCGAGAGTCTCCCGTTAGCACTATTTAGTGTAAGGTATACCCCTAGGGGAAAATGTAATTTATCTCCCTATGAGATCCTGTTTGGCACTGCACCCAGATTAGGTTGCTATTTCCCCCAGCAACTTCAGATACAGTCAGATGCTATGGTAGATAATGTTACTGCTCTTTCTCGTGCCTTGACCAAAATCCATGCCCAAGTGTTTTCTTCTATTCCAGATCCTGAGTCGAATACATGTACACACAAGTTGCTTCCTGGTGATTGGGTTATGGTCAAGAAATTTCTCAGAAAGCACACTCTTGAGCCGAGATTTGATGGTCCCTACCAAGTGCTTTTAATTACAGCTACCTCTGTCAAATTGGCTGGGAAGAGTTCCTGGATACACGCTTCACACTGCAAGAAAGTGCCTGCTCCAGGAGAAACCACCCTCTCTGAACCATGAATTTGTTGTGTCTCTTGTGTTTCTTTATGCTGCTAAAACTTGCATGGGCCCAACAGGTGGCCATAACCAAAGATAACAATGTTTACACTTTCAGGTACAATTCTTCATGTACAGATGTAGCCACATTCACCTTCGATTATTGTGATATTGTTACTTGCACCTTCCCACAAACACAGTATGCATCCATATACAAGTAAGAAAGATCCATATATTTGTGTGACGGGGGGATCTTGGGGCCATTATTGTGGTTCATGGAAATCAGCCGGGTGGAACACGGGCAGACCATGGGGATATAGACCACAGAGTGCCCTTGACAGACTTGACCAAGACGGGAAACCCTTGCTCTCCAGAATGACTTTAACCAAACCTACTGGGTCAACCCCCATTAAACTCACACTAAACATAGAGCATCCCAGTCCTGGGGATGCAGGCAAATATGTGATGGGCATGTATTGGAGAGGGGGAGGCACACACAACAAGCTGGGGACATTCTACTTACAAGATATGTTTAACTCATCTGACTGGGTAGGCACCACACATATGACTATCAATCCACTCAAACCTCACATTAAAACTTTACATGATATGGTTGCTATTGCTAACCCTACCTTTGAGGACACCATGGCAGTCGAGACAGGGTTTTCAGATACTAATTTATGGTTGGAATGGATGAGATACAATGCTAATTCACGTAATAAGACTAACTGCTATGTGTGCGGGGGAGCTAGGCCTCACCTAGGCACAGTACCTTTAAATCTACCTCCCGAAGTTGAGACATGTGTTTTGAGTCTCTATGCACAATCCACTACGAACTCTTCCATGTGTGAGTCATGGAAAAAGGTCTATCCTGTTATTCAAGGACATGTTAAGCCACCTGATGGGGTCACAGTGTATCCAGGTAATTACACATGTTATTCAATACCTAAGAACACAGGGTCGTATATGGGAAAATTTCCATTGGGTTATTGCTCCACCTATCACACCCCACCTGTAGTATTATTAATGAACCATGTAAAGACAGTTGGAGACATATACTGGCTGTGTGGCGATAAGCAATTAAGATCCCAGCTGGTGGGACTGTGGTGGGGTGAATGTACACTAACAAAAGCCATAATGCCCATTCACATTATCCCTGATGGCCATCATGATGAGTCAGACCACACACATACAAGCCATAGAACTAAAAGGGAGGCCCCAATCCGTGGTAGTTTCGACCCACATGTTTACATAGATGCCATAGGTGTGCCAAGGGGGGGTGCCTAATGAATTTAAGGCAAGAGATGAAGTAACAGCTGGGTTTGAATCCTTAATTCCAATGATCACGGCCAACAAGAATGTCAATTGGATTAATTATATCTATTACAATCAACAGCGATTTGTTAACTATACCAGGGATGCCCTACAGGGCCTGGCAGAGCAATTGCAAGCCACCACACAAATGACATTCCAAAATAGAATGGCCCTGGACATGATATTAGCAGAAAAGGGGGGTGTTTGCAAAATTCTTCCCGAAACCATGACATGTTGCACATTCATTCCAGACAATACTGGGCCCAATGGTAAGGTAACTATGGCTATAGAGAAACTGGATATTCTCTCAGATGAATTAAAGAAGAATTCAGGAGTCATGGATACTTGGGACAGGTGGTTTGGATGGATGAATGGTTGGCAGAGAACTTTATTTCAGGTTGGAACTGCAGTCCTTATAGTACTTATTTTCTTCCTGTTCTTAATCTGTTGTGTGTTCCCTTGCATACAAAGGTACCTACAGAAAGCAGTGGGTAAGACTATAGATGACGCAACTCCTACCTCCCTACATCAGGATGTTACAGAACTAGACTATGACGCACCACACACACCTCTTCAACCTCACCAATTCAAACAGGCAACTGCACTCCTGTAGGGATAGCATAGGGAAAGCGTCTGTCTCTACGGGCAAGTCTCACGTGTGGAGATGTGGTGGACTAGCCACTGCGGGTTACCCACGGAGTGAAGAGTTCGATGCTCGTTAAGACAGATGAGCTGCAGGCAGCTAGGGATGAGTAAGGGACAGCTGCAGTTGTTATGGTAAATAGCCATTTTAAGGGGGGACTGTTGTGGAAATAAAACATGAATATATACACATATAACTTTGTAGTTAGTAAAATGTCTATTTACCCATTGCACTGAAATCAGTAGATAAGCTATTCACGCATATTTACACAAAATGGCTACTAGAAGTTTCTAACCCCTCCCTCCTTATAACCTCGACTAACTACCTCGTGTAACAAGATGGCGCTGAGATCTGGGGGAGACCCTCATGGTCTCAGTGACATCACCTCTAGTAGGCAGAGCACTAAGATAACTACTTAACACCTAACCAATTGATACCGTATTATTCCATGTTATCTCTGACAATGCTTATGATGTAATTTTGCTTTAAAAGGGACTTGCCGTCCCCTCTGAATAAACATTCCTCAAGTTATTCAACTACCTGAAACTTGTGTCTGGTGTGAATTACTTCAGGGAGCGTGCACGCATTGTTTCATTAATTTGGTCAGGGGCAGATACACAAAGAATAATCAATCGATTTGGGTTGATTTCCACTTCACTCACCTTGCTTAATGCTAAAATCTGAAGGCAAGATGGTCCTATCTTACAGCCAACAGACCCAGTGACTATACAACTTACCTGTGCCCATCTTGCATCAATGTTTCCACGAGGAAGGCATTTTGGTGAGGGCTCCGGCTTCTGTGGCCTACCCCACGATCCTACGCAGGAGACACGGCCGATCTACTGCATCACACAGTGCTGGATTGCAACTCAGCTCTCATTCCCCCCCCTGCCCCCTTGGACTGGTGGGGGTTATCCCGGTCCCTGCTGATCTGGTCTGCCACAATTTTTTAGCCTCATAGTGAGTCCCTAAACAATCTCCGGCTGGACAACTACTCCATGCGGAATTCCCAGGCCCATATCCATGCTCTATGGATATTGAATTTATGCTATATTTGCACGCTTCTAGGCAAAACTACTGAAACACATGAGACCAGCATCGGCTGAACAAGTCTTTTCTGAGGGAGAGTGGAGACGCGGTGAAGTAAGGTCTGGGAAGCCTCTTAAGGGCTCAACGCAACCTCAGACCTCAATCCATCATCTACGCTGCTCGCCTAGGCTAAGAGCCACACAAACGGAGAGCCGCGTGGCACAAGCGACAACTCACACTAATGACCAGCCAAGCTCACCTCTCCATCCCGGACAGGAGGACCCTCGACTTTGATAGAAACCAGGTTTGTGGCAAGCAGGTACCAGCTTTCACACAGTCATGGGGCTGGAAGAGTTCCTCGGTTTGGCTTTGCTGTCCTGCTCACCTAGATGGACTGATTTTCTGCCTGGGATATGCTCCACACTAAGTCCATCAGACTTACCTGTTTTGATACACATTCGCCAGCTCCAGGTCGGGTGGTAGACCTACAAAGCGCCGCAACACATCGATCAGTATGCTGGACTCTGCTATCTGCTGTGATTTTCTTTAATTTTTAGTTTCTTTTCCATTTTCCAAAGGAGCACTATAGGGTCAGGAACACAAACATGTATTCCTGACCCTATAGTGTTAAAACCACTATTTGCCTCCCTAAAGATAGTAAAATCTTACTTGTATTGAAGTCTAAAGCTGCTGCCTCTACCTGTGAACTTCCTCTGGCATCATCTAAAGTGGTGGCCAGATCCAATCACAATGCTTCCCCATAGGATTGGCTGAGACTGATAAAGAGGCAGATCAGGGGCAAAAGCAGCATGACTCAAACACTGCCCTAGGCCAATCAGCATCTCCTCATAGAGATGAATTGAATCAATGAATTTCTATGAGGAAAGTTCAGTGTCTGCATGCAGAGGGAGGAGATACTGAGTGTTTGGATGCATTTTAGGCAGCCATGACCCAGGAAAGATCTCTAACAGCTGAGGAGTGGCCAGTGAAGTTATCACTAGGCTGTAATGTAAACACTGCATTTTCTCTGAAAAGACAGTGTTTACAGCAAAAAGCCTGAAGGTAATGATTCTACTCACCAGAACAAATTCAATAAGCTGTAGCTGTTCTGGTTACTATAGTGTCCTTTAAGTTTTGTAAAGCAGTGACCCATCAGAAAGCCTAGTCCAGTGGTAACATAATTTTGAAACCCTTACCTAATTTGCGCTGTTATTTAGTCTTTCTCCACATGTCTAACCAGATATAGTCCATTACAAGTTTAGCTGTTGTCCTATGATCAGACATGTCGGTTTAGCCTGGTAGTCTTTTTGACATCCTCTAGGGTTTTATGTTTGCACATTACGTTTTGTTATTGAAGCCTAGCTGCTAAATATTATTACAGAGTAAGCAACATAAATGTAAAGTCTTGGCCTGCACTTGTGGGTTGGGCATGTTACCCTATTTAAACCCGCTACTCACCTTCCTCCGTCTCATACGTGCTTTAGTGCTATTTCCGGTCGTCATTTCCTCCCTTACCTGGTCCTCGTGGTTTTTGTTGCCTGGCCTGCTGTTCACTGGTCCGCGGTCCTTCTGGGCTTTGATCTTGCTCTCCTGTCATCCCTTGCGCTCCAAGCCTCGGCTATCCATACAGACAACTCTTCTGAAACATAAGATACTTACCCTATCGTCACGCCACGGTTGCAGTCCCACGGCGTCCTCACGGTTTGGGTCTATTCTCCGCTCTATCCTTTTGTATGTTTTTTAGTTTTCCTCATGTCGTTCGCAAACTCCCGGACGAGTTGGTCTCACCGTTCGGGAGTTTTCTCACCTTCCTGTTGCTTGGGGAGGGCACATGATCTGCATCGTTCACGTTTGCCTGTTTCGTGGCTATGTTGAGTTTGCGTGTTTTCCCGCGAACTGCCCGCTGCTTCGGTGGCTTCGCATGGGTTTCTGCACGAAAGCCCTATGGCCGGATAGAGTTTCCGTGAAGTTTTGTTTGAATGTGGTTTCGCTCCTTGTAGGTGTTCGCATGATTGCAGTCGAATATCCCCCCTCACCTCATGGGTTTGTTCCTGGCGTTTGGCTGACCCCTAGTGGTTATTTTTGATGCCGTTTACTGAAAAAAATTTTTTATTTTCTTTGTGTTTTTTTGTTCTGGTGTTCTTTCTGTGGTTTGTGTTACTTGCTTGTTTATTTGGTGTGTGTTCTCCCTCATTACATGTTGGTTTGTACGCAGGTCTGCTTTTTCTTTTCTTTTTTCCGGTTCTAGGTTCCAGTTTCATACCGAGGTTCTTCAGCCCCATCGCTAAGTCTGACCCGTGTTCTTCTTTCAGGTTTTTGTTCTCTGCCTGGTTGGGCCACGTTTGACCACCATACTTCTCGTTTTACATTATTTTCCAGAAGGTATGTTTCGTGTTTTTTTCCTGGGTCCTCGAGCTGGCCCATATGAGCCCAGTGGGCTATACACCAACACGAATTCTATTACCTATTTCCAGGCATACTCCATACGGCCTGACCACCTGGACTCTGACCTGCTTATTCTGCACTCCAGATACGTTCGGCCTTACGACACGTCCTCGTACACCCCCACATTTCGATACACATTCCTCAGGTACGCTACCCTCCTCTCTTAGTTAGCTGTGGCTGGCTGTCAAGGTCCTAGGTGTCCAATTGTTGTAATTCCCCTGGCTTCTTCGCCTTAGGTTAGTGGTCCCGCGATGCCAACACCCATCCTCATACTCGGAGATATTACGCCCCTCGGGTCAAATCATAGTTAGTCACCTCACAATGTGGCATAGAGAGGGCCTCACCTGTCATAAAATGGGAATTCTATCTTATGATTAACTATTACTGAGAGGCCAACACCCCGCCACAACATTCAGTGGGTCATTGATTGTTTGTAGTGTTTCAGTGTTGTCTTGGTGTGGTGCAGCAACATGGTCAGAGGTCGAAACACTAGGGCAGTGCCAGTGATTTCCTATATCTTAGTATGTATCAGCTGCCAATAAGGGGCAATGGCGTGGCATGACCACCATATGTGGAGGTTGGTCCCCTCGTCCTGCCCACACGAGTAGCTGCGTTCATCCGGTGTAGGACGTTTGGCGTCCGGTACCAGAATGTTAGCACTTTGTAGCTCATTTCCTGGAACTTAGAGCTAATGGAGCATTTGTGGGTGATGGTTAAGATTTTGTCCCATTCCTGGTCTGAGAGGGAGACTCAAGTGTCCCTCTCCCACCTACTTGTGTACCTGAGTGCTATGTCACCTCTATTGGAGATAAGCAGTGTGTACATGGTTGAGATACCCTTTGTGACTTGTTCCCTCCTGGCACAGAGCATCTCGAACTGTGTCAGAGATCTGTGTATCAGTCCCCGACCAGATAGGGACCCATAGTATGTCTTAACTTGGTGGTATCGGAACTGTTCCAATGGGGTCGGTGGTCTGTCCTGGATCAACGCACTTATGGGTTGTAGTTGGTTGGGTGTGCACCAATGGTGCATGTGCATCCAGTCTAGGCATCTATGCAAGTAGGCAACATGGTAGTACGTTATAATTGATGGGAGACCCACCCCTTCTGCCGACTTTGGTAGCTCCAGGAGGACCCGCCGAAGTCTGGTCTGACGATGGTTCCACACAAACTCCTGTGTCGCCATGGTTAGGGTATTAAAGAATGTCTTAGGGATGGTAATTGGGTTGGTTTGGAATAGGTACAGTATACGCGGCAAGACATTCATCTTAACCGCGTTGACCTGACCGAACCACGAGAAGTATTGAGGGGTCCAGCGTTGCATGTCCTTTTGGAGTGTGTCTAGTAGGGGAAGATAGTTAAGCCAGTACAGTTTGGTGAGATCCCATGTCAGCCAGGTGCCCAAGTATCTCAGTTTATCCGTGCACCACTTGAAGTGGAACTCCGCTTGGAGAAGTGTGGA